GGGCAGGACCCAGAGCAGCAGGGCTAGGGGAGGGCACAGGGCCAAACGTGAGTCTCTGTCCCCGCCTCCCCCAGCCCATCATTCACGACGGGCATTTTGCTAGTACGCACGCACGCACGCACTTTGGACAGCTATATGCTGATACAGCTATACCAAGGACTATAAATAAAATTCTGCTATTTTTTTTCCTAAGCAGCACATATTATGTCCAAATAAAAGAGGTTTTTCTTTTATTTTTAATATATACTTTAGATAACACTTGAGTTGTTTAGTTTTCCAGCATCTTAAAATGTACACTCTTCTATGTATAATGCCAATAATATGTAAAACTGCTGAAGACCCCCAAATCATGGACATACACACAGACATTAGACATGTCTCACAGGACCCCTGTGAGGCTTGTAAGAATTATCCCCATTTACAGATAGGAAACCTGAGACAAAGAAGCAACTGGCACAATTCCACAGTGTAGTGGTGACAAAGTTAACAAAGCAGCCAGATATCTCAACTCCCCGTCTGCTGGTTCGGACCAACAGACCACACACAAACACACTCTTCATTAAGAGAATTCTGCTCATCTAAGATAATTCTAAAGCAAGTTTGACAGCAACATGTACAAACTTATCGCTAATGCACATCACTATAACTTACAGTCCAGCACTATTAAAGACTGTATAAATGCAGACATCTGTATACAGATGGTATCTCACTGACACTAGTAAGTTTTCAGACTTTTAAATATGGAACTCTCTCAAATGTCAAAAATATAATTGCTGTGGTTTTGACTACTAAAACACAACAATTAAGTAATACTTTCCTTATCTGGCATTTTGCTGTCTGTTTTTACTGTGCTGTGTTATACAACTAAGCAGTATCGTTTTACCAGGTAGAAACCCATATTCAGTCTGCAGTAATAGTTTATTGTAGGCAGGCACTGCTTGTTTAATGCATCAGCTAGCTGACCTCATTTTTAAAGATTACTCATCACAGCTTAAAGACATTAAACCATTTCAACACGTAGCTGTTAATCTTTTGGCACCAGAAGTCTGATTTCCCCAGAGCAAAGACAGGCGCCAAGGAGTTAAACAGATCTTAATGAATGGTTTTCACTAGTCTGTGCATAAACTATTATTATACATTCTCAACACATGCCCTTCCTGCAAGGACTGTTTGAGGGTAGCCCATGTTCAGATAGTTGTGGAGGCTCTTCCACAACCCACACACGTCGTATTAGAACTCTGACATCAGCCATTCTTTGGGAAGAAACCAAAGTAATTGGTTCGATGCAATAAGCCACATGTGATTAGAATCTCAACCATATCTATACAATAAAGCCAGGAAATTCAGAGTCAAGGTTCCCATGCTAACCATGACTCTGCCTCCTTGTGTGTGCACTGAAAGCATCTTGTTATGTGACAGCTAACGCAAGTCCTTGTTTGGTAAATAAAGCATTGTAACGAGGATTGCTCCCTCTAGAACTGTGAATGCAGTGCAAACATATCCAAACGCACTCAAAAGGCCCTTTTGTGATACAGACCTGGAAGTGATGGGGAGAAAGTTGCTAAAGGAAGCTCAGCTCTTTATTTTCTTACTTTTCCACAGGCTCTCTGAAGTGTTTGGACAGAACTTGCATTACAGCTGTAGTAGGTTGTAAAATCCACCCCCCCAAACAAAGCAGAATTGCTCCCTAGGGCACTTTTTCCAACTGAGTGCTTTGTTCAGTGCAGATTTAAACATCCCAGGCAATGGGTTTCTATCCCTCCCACTGGGAGACTATTTTACCTTTTAATGGATCAAACTTTTCTAGTATTCAACCTAAACTTACTTTCCTACGCTTTTGTCAAAAGAAAAGTTTTTCTTCATTCTCTGTGACTGAAAGGACACAGATTCCTCCTGAGCTTAAGGGTATTTTAGTCAAAATTTATGCCCCATCTGAACCCTGCAAAAAATCTCAAAATCTGTGTACATTAAAAACTGGAAGAGACACTAAAGCACAGAATTTCCAGAAGTGGAGATCAGAATAAAGGACAAACACCCACATCCATCTCCTTCTCTTTGGCAACAAGAGAGACTTTAGACAAAATTACTGCACCAAAGCATATTCCACTCCATCTGAATTTACCAAAAATACCCAGTTCATACTCTCAGCTATGCTGGATGGGCTGTATTTATACAGTTTCTGGATATCAGTAAGAAAAAAAGTTTGCACAATAGCTGGCTTGTGCACTTAACCTAAAGTTTTCCTTCTCAGGACATTTCCCAGCTTCCAAATGTGGATTACTATAGATCTCCCTGAACCCACCTCAAGTGAGCAGCATGACTGCCAAAACACAAATGGGCAACTCCACAACCAAGAGAGAATGGAGAGAAAGAATATGGTACATATTCATCATAGAAAAGTTATATCTGCTTTGCTAAAAGACAAGTATCAAAATTTTTATCCCATCTGGTTGCCATGCTACAACTAACTCAAGAGAACTATAGAAGAAAAACACCACAAGTACACTACACTGGAAAATAAGTCTATTAAAAATGGAAAGACAGCACGAGACATAGTCCTGTCCTCCTTCTCAGCAAGACCAAATAGGCAGCACCTTTGAAACATTTGCATAGCTAATCACATTTTGCACCACAAGAATGTATTTTAATTATATGATTCTTACATACATGTCAATATGGTCATGTGGTTGTGTTAATGAAAAGCAGGGAAGGGGAAAGCAGCACAGGAAGTGTTACCAACTTCGTTTATTAATGGGTCAACTGTATTCACAGTGCTGCTTTGTTCCTCCCCTTGATATTTTTGTAAAAGCTCTTCTTATTGTATTCCTCAGTTTTGTTTTATTACGAAATTATATTCCTTTTTCACACACAATTCTAAATCCCTTTTAAAGCTCAGAACAGCTCTGCACTATATCATTTATAAAACTAAGAGGAGGAATTCCAACCACATAGGCAGGAAAGGAGTCCAGTGGCTGCATTCTTGAAGCACAAAGATACCCGTGAAGCAGAATGTCTTTCCTTAGATGCTTCCCGTTCACGTTCTGGCAGAAATTGCCTCTATTTCTATTCTGAACTTGATGGAGATTATAGCACATCATCATCATGAGCACAGAGGATTAAGGGTTTGCTAATGTGTGCCCCAGGGCATGCAATGGCAAGCACCAGGAATCAAACCAACATTTATTTATTAGATTTATCTCCTGCCCTATCCAAAAGGCTCAAAGCAGCTTAAAATAAACAATCAGGGACAAACAGAATTCCCCAAACACCCCCACAAAACTGGTGAGGTCCAATTCTCTTCCCTCCCTGCCTAAACCCCCACAAGCAAACCCGCCTGCCAATCCCAATCATGCCTCCCAACTGCCACTCGCATCCAGTTACAAGAAACCTTCTCCCACCCACCCCACCACTCCCTGCCCACCCATTTCTATTACTCTGCTTCAATCCCTGGGGAGATCTCCCCACTGAACACATCACCCCCTCTCCTACAGACATCTCTTACATTACACACCAAAACACTGCTACTGATCACCAGGCATCCTGCATGGCACTAGAAATTAGAGATGCAATGGATCTGACTACCCAGGTCAGATAACGGAGGAAAACATTTTGCTTTTATCTTTGCGATACCAAAAAGAATCTACTGTCGGTATGAAAGCCTACCTTTAACATAGCACCATTCATCATTAAATCTCCAGGTGCTGTACAAAGGAGGTCAGTATATTATGTCAATTTTACAGATAGGGAAGCTAAGGCAGAGAAAGAGGAAGTGATCTGTACCAGAGGTCACTCAGTGGCAGAGCCAAAAATCAAAGCCAGGTCTCCCGACTCCTAGAGCTATATCCACTAGGCCACACATGAGTCTCATAAATATTAAAGGGAAGAGGAAAAAAGATTGGACTAATCTTTAAATATTACGGAACATGACTGTGTGATTTAGGCAACCAAATGCCTCAACCAAATCCCCTCAAAATACTGAGCATGCAGTTTCCCAAATAGCTGTAACATCATCTTTCCTACCAGTGGTAGTATAACAGACAGGACTTGCTCTAAGTATGGCTGTGGCCTAGGCAAAGGGCTCTTTTGATCTTGGCATCTCTCATGTACTCAAATAAAGCAGATCTGGTCAGAAGGCCAAGAACCTAGTGGAGGCAGTGACAGAGCTGGTGGATGGATACTATTTCACACAGCAGCCCTGACACTGCCTTTACTAAGTTCTTTTCTTTTGAGCAGACAACTTTTACATAGCACAGAGCAGAGAGGGACAGCACCATCTTCTGGTCAGATGGTTTCTTTCCAAGTGGAATTCTTCTCAAATAGGTGCATGCTCACTCCATGCACACCAAACTGTGGTACCTTATACAGTGCTGAAAACTACCTTGAGACCACAGAATGCTTAGTAAGATCCTGAAGACATCCACTGTCTAAGTTTAAAAACTGAATCAAGATTAAACTTGAAGATGAAGCAACAGAAATTTAAGTAAGCTGTAAAATGCTAGGCTGTGGAGAAATGAATGGAGAATGCTCTGCTTTTATTTTTTTTAAAGGAAAAAATGAAAAATCTTTATAGTAAAAAGGTGCCACATGCCTCCCTGAGCTTTGTGAAAAACTGCCCCGTTGTCTTCAGTAGAAGTTCCAGACAGTCAACTACTTTCTGGAAGCTTTGAGCACCCTGGAGACAGATACCAAGGGAAAGATTCAAAATTCACTCAGCACTGGCTTAGCTCATATACTGTACCAATGAATTAAAGTTAGAATTTTACTAGAGACTTGAATGGGAACCAAAGCTGAATGTTTTTGAAATTCCTGCCCCACTTGCTTTCAGTTTCTCCTCATGATCAAAGTATCCCCAATATGGCTGAAAACATCTCTGCATGCAGCTGATTGCTTCGTAATTTCTAATTTTAAGATAAAGCCCAAGAACCTTAAGCTGGACAGCATCTAAGTAAAAACTTTTTCAACAATTCTCATCTGTTTCCTTGACAATATTATAGACCTACCATATAAGCCAGGTGTTCTTTCCTCGTACGTAAAATGAAGTTGCAGTTCCTCTTCTGTCATCTGACTGATGAACACTTTTAGCAAACAGCAAATAATAAACAATGCATTGTGGGCCTGCCAAATAAAGAGGTGGCTACAAGAGAAACAGAAACAAGAGTCAATGATATTCAACACATTAATATTCAGACATGATCATCACCAGGGGTGTGCTACAGAAGACAGGTCCCAGTGACCTGGGCAGGGCAAAGGCAAGGCTCCCCTGAGCGATTCAAAGGGTGGACTCTCAAGGCATTTCTACATGGCAAACTTGCTGCACCAAACAGCAACAACCTCAAACGCGGGCTGCGTCCCAAGCCACCAGCAGGTTAGTCGTGCCCATGAAGTGCTGCACACTGGCTAATTAGCCCATCCAAAGAGTTTCACAAGCCACAGTACTGCTTCCAGGATAGGAGGCAGCTTGCACATGGACCTTTTCTAGAACTCCTCCTTGAGTTGTGTGCCTTTCCCTCCATGCACTTTTCCCAGGTGACATCATTCTACATGGAAGAAGCTCTGCAGACCTCAAGGGCACAGCAGCCAAGACCAGCTATTCTCTGCAGTACTGTCCGCAGAGTCCCTACAAGCAGCTGCAGGGGGACTCAGCCAACATAGTCAGTGCCTGCTAAAGCTTATTCTGTCAAAGTGGTTGCAGGGACAATAAAGCACAAGCCATCCCTTCAGAGATGAGTCTTTCTGGACAAGGAGGGAGCCCTGGATCTAAAATGATTAGGAGAGGTTGAGGCATCTACAAGGTTTCAGCTTCCTTCTCTACGAACACCTTCCTGCAGACCGACACTTCCAGAAAAGAATAATCACTGGAAAGCAAGCCTGATGAAGGGTATTTATACCCGAAAGCTTGCAAAAAAAAAAAAAATGTCTAGCTATTTGAGTTGGTCTAATAAAAGATATCAGATTTACCCAAAGAACCTTGTCTGCCCATTTCCTTAGACCAATATGACTATACAACCTATACCCCTGTAATCACTGGAAAAACACTGAAATATCTTCCTTGCTGGGAGGAAGGGTGTAGATCTCATCATACAAATTGAAAACCATAGAATTTTAGATTTTCTGTTCTAGACTGGTCAGCTCCAGATACTCTAGGGATAATGTGCCAGCTTTATAATAAATAGATTTAGCTAAAAAGATGTCAGCTGGTTTTTTATGTCTAAAAATAAGCACTTAAGATGAAAAACAAATGTGCAGTAGCAGCCATTGCACCTACATTTTAGAACGCTTACAGAAATCCTTAGCTCATCAGCCATGCTCTTAAATTTTATTTATGCTCCAAGGAGTTTTGAGTCTCAAACTGTAAATCCAGTAGAGGACAATTTGTGTAGCATTTTTACTGTCTGTCATGCCCACCCACAGGAAACAATGGGGACAGCAAAGCCCCAGACCTGAATTGTGGGTAGGGAAGATTAATCCAAAGGTATTTAAAAACATATGTTTATCACATCATTTAGAACCAGTCACACAAAGGAAAATATAATATATAAAACCGAGAATGGAAATTTTCTTATGTTTCATTCCCAGTGCTTCAAATGTATGAGAGACACGTTTCTTTTTAAAGGGAAAGTTACATCAAGCAAAAACAAAAATTTACAGAACCTAAATTTTCACTTTTCTAATTAAAGGCGTGTAAAGAGCAGCCCTCCTGGCAGTACTCAAGGACTATGAACAAAACAAACATTTAAAATGTGGAACATAATACACCACATTGCTCTGGTAACTTACTTCTGACATTCTGCTGAAATTTTTAACTCCTTGGTTCTAGAAAGGAAGACTTTAATCAACGCTCCAAGATTTCCTGACCGAGGATTGTTCTCAACTAGAGGAGAGATATGAAAGAATACATGGCATTTGTAATTTAATATTATGATAATTATTTTGAACAAAAGATAGATTGAATATAGTTTTTAAGGTCTGCACAGTTCTAGGACACACAAGTACATCCCCACCTATTTTTCAGAACATGTAGTTAAGGAAGGAAAAAACCTTTAAGATTCTTCTGTCCCCATTTTTACCACTGCAAAAAATGAAACAATGAAATCCACACTACTTTGTGCGAGATTACTCCCGAACCCAAGAGATCTCACTGTCAGTGAAACATGCTTGATCTTCAGAGTAAAATTTTCCTTTTAGAAATATCCTTCTATTACTCAGTTGTTTTTTTACTAGCCCTTGCTTCCACAAGCTCCTCAGATAATTCCTATTTATTAGCATTTACCCAGTTAATAATTCCGATGTTTTAATAGTGTAGTAAGACTAAACACTGCAAGTTAAAAATTGAAAATGAGAAGCTAGCTACAGAATTATCTTCTAATTCAACATGGACTCTACATCATACGTATGACACCCTGTACTTCTCCTCTATCATCATTCCCCCTGAATGTACAATGTTTTAAAAATCACTATGTGAAAGAAGTCTGCTCAGCAACTGGTGCCCAAGCCACATCCTTTCTTTGGAAGCACACAGAATAAAGCAGTAGTGACAATTTTATGTTCAAACGGCACATACAAGTAGAACGTTTCCACCTATTATTTGGGGGATAAAGATAATTTTAAAAAATCTTACTGGTAGAAAACAGATGGATGAAATTAATACACCACAGACACAGAAGTTTATATGAACACTGCAGTTTACCAGAGAAGCTGACAACGTACAAAATGCAAAAATAAATGGAGACATCAAAATAATCGCTTACCTAAAGACTTGCAGACTGATATGGTGGCTTCTTCCAAGAGCTTTAACTCAGCACTAGAAAAAGAAAAAAGAAAGATTTAATTATAGAAGCAATGACAAAGAGGGCTGTGTGAAATTTCACCAAGCGTTTACTTTCAAAGCTGTTTCTATGTGTTTCAAGCTCGAAACAGCGAAATCGAAATAAAACAAAAAACATCGAAACAGCTTCAAAATTAAATGAGGGCACCTGAAACGTTTCAAAACATTTCAAGCTTCGAAGCAGCACAGTGGTGGGAGGCAGGGGAGAGCCAGGGCTGCACTCCAAGTGGCTTACAGCCCCATGTAGCTCAGCCCAGCGGGGAGCACAGCCCTGGCTTTCCCCGCCTCCCACCATAGGGCTGCACTCCGATGGGCTGGCAGAGCCGATCAGAATGCAGCACCAGCTCTGCCCGCCTCCCACCTCCAGGCTGTGCTCCAATCGGCTCTGCCAGCCCCATGGAGCTCAGCCCAGTGGCAGGAGGTGGAGCATAGTGCCGGCTCTGCCCGCCTCTTGCCACCGGGCTGAGTTCCATGGAGCTGTGAGCTCGCATGGGGCTGCTCAGCTCCCAGCTCCATGGAACTCAGCCCGGTGGCGAGAGGTGGAGTGCAACACTGGGGCTGTGCTCCCCTTCCTGCCACCAGGCTCAGCTCCCAGCAGGTCGCACCCCCATGGAACTCAGCTCAGTGGCGGGAGGCAGAGGGCTCAGCTCTGAGTGGCTTACAGCCCCATGGAACTCAGCCCGGTGGCAGGAGGCAGAGCACAGAGCCGGCACTACGCACTGCCTCCTGCCAGCAGGCTCAGCTTCGAGCAGCTCCAAGCAGCGTCTTGAGCTCCATGGGGTTACTGAGCCGCTCGGAGTGCAGCCCAGTGGTGGGAGGCGGGCAGAGCTGTGACTGAGCTTTGCCTCCTGCTGCCAGGCTGAGCTCCATGGAGGTGCGCCAGGTGTGGGCTGCGCCTAGCACCGATCCAAAACGGCAGGCTCTTGTCATCCGGCATGCAGATCTGGGGGCTTGCACCCCCAGGAGTGCTGCGGGGCTATGCCAGACTCCTCCTGGGGATGTAGGCCCCCTGATGTGCACCCGATTGACAGGAGGCTGCAGCTGCTGCCTGCAGCCAGTAGCAGCATCCGTCTTCCCCGGAGTTGGGTGTGGGCCGCACCCAGCGCTGGTCCCAGGTGGCAGCAGCAGCCTCCTGTCATCCCACACAGATCCAGGGGCCCACACCCCAGGAAGAGTCTGGCACAGCCCTGCAGCGCTCCCAGAGGTGCAATCCCCTGGATCTGCATGCCGGATGACAGGAGGCTGCCACTGCCAGCAAGTTTTGTTTTCAAGATTTGAGGTACAGTTTCCAAGAAACTTCTGCACCTATCTCCTTGAAACTTGGCAGGCTTCATGCCCTCAGAAGGGGCTACCATCCCTGCAATTTGCATCAAAATCAGGCAATAAATGACAACATTTTAGGCATTTTCATAATTCCCCATTATAGCCTATGGGTGAAACAGAAACGAGTCGAAACAGCAAAACAGTTTCGACAAAACAAAACAGGACAGTGCTTCGAAACGAAACAAAAACTGTCCCTTCAAAATGGCAAAACGGATGTCGAAATGAAACAAAGGTGTTTCGCACAGCCCTAATGACAATTTCTGAGCCTATAAAGGTCTGCCACTTACAAGATAAAATTACTGCACTTAAAACAAAAAGCTCTAACACTCCTGGAAGAAAGCCATAATCCAAATTACAGAATGCCATTTACCTGGTTTACACAGGTTATAAACCTATAGACACACCATCCAAAATTTAGGCTGCTTACAGACATGGGAAAAAACTAAAACAGCGCTTTACTTTCAGCTTGGCGCACCTTCACATCAAACACGGCACATGCCTGGGAGAGGGATCAAGTTAGTTTGATCCGGCCCTGCAGCATCTGTATAGATTTGGCGCTTCAGCACGGCTTTTTGGTGCTCTTATCTAAATAGCTGATTGAATCAGCTATTAGATAAAAGTGCCAAAAAGCCCTGTTAAAGCACCCAAACTATACAGACACTGCAGAGCTGGGTCAAACTAATGGATGCCTCTCCTGGTAAAGCACTTGGGGGGGAGGGGGGGGTTGTTTCATGTCTGTCAGCACCTAGAGCGACTATAAACTGGGCAATTAACCTGTGTTTCACTTTGTCAAACAATTCATATTTAAAGTGGGCTGACAATGTTACATGTCATTGGCTTCACTGTGCCCATGTTTGTTCTGGAATAAACAACATTGAAAAAAAAACCATGCAGGACTCCAGTTTGATTTTGCAGAAGAATGTTAGCTTTGTCCTGGGACCCCTCTGTATTGCATAACTGTAAGAGGAGAGATATAATCCCTTTTCTAAAGCTGAAAATAAGCAGCCTTAATAGAAAGATATTTAACTTCAAACAGACAAAACATCCAAATTTTATTACCCTACTATAATAACTGTTTTCATGTAATAGAAATAGCTGTAAGTCTGGTACACATCCAAAGGATTTTTTAAAATACATTAATTGCCAGATAACACATTTATATGAAAACCCCTAACCTAAAAATCAAACTACTTTAAAATAGTGTCAACAGTGTTCTACCTATAATACACATTTCCTTACTTAGCATTTCTAGCACCATAAACTGCTTTCCATGGACTGTACAAATTAACTAATCCTCAAAGCCTGTGTGAAGTAGGTCAGGAATTAGTTTGCTTTTGTGGAAGTGAAAACAGAAATGGTTATTAGGTTTCCTTCCCAAGGCCACATTAAGCACCGTAAAGGTATAGAATTTAAATAGTAATTATCCAAGGGTCTAGTCTTCTGTCAACACACAGCAAGACAGGAAGGGAATGTTCAGAAATGGAATGTTAATATCCCTCTTTTGGTTTAATGTTGTTATTAACCTAACAAATTCTACTCCTGTAGTACAGTATATGATACACTATAAAGCCAACAGATTTTGTATTGTGGGGGGCTGCCCTTTAATGCCTCCAAACCTACCTTGCTGGTTTTAAGAAACATGGTATGAAACAACATACTAAAAAGTCAACCTTCTTCGGGTAAATCTTTTATTAGACCAACTAATATTTCATAGATTCCATAGACATTAGGGCTGGAAGGGCCCTCGCAAGATCATCAGGCCCAGCCCCCCGCCCCAGGGGCAGGAAGTCAGCTGGGGTGAGATCACCCGAGCAAGATAAGCATCCAAGCGTTTCTTAAAGGTATCCAGAGAAGGTGCTTGCATCACTTCTGGGTGGAGTCTATTCCAGACTCTGGAGACTCAGATGGTAAATACATTTTTCCTTATGTCCAGTCTAAGATGGTCTTCCAGCAGTTTGTGACCGTTAGACCTTGTCTTCCCTTAGGGTGCCCTGGTGAACAGACATTCTCCCAGTTCCTGATGCACACCCCTTATGTACTTATAGGCTGCTACCAAGCCAGCCCTGAGTCCTTCACTTCTCCAGGCTGAAGAGTCCCACGCCTCTCAGGCTCTCCTTATAAGGCCTGCTCTCTTGACCCCTAATCATGCATGTGGCTCTCTTCTGGACTCTCTCAAGCTTCTCCACATCCTTTCTAAAGTGTGGAGCCTAGAACTGGATGCAGTACTCCAGCTGCAGCCTCACCAAAACCAAGTAAAGCAGGAGGATGACTTCTTGGGTCTTGCTTGAGATGCACTGGTAGATGCAAGACAATTTTATTCGCTTTGCTAGCTGCGGCATCGCATTGCTGGCTCATGTTCATCTTGTGGTCCATCGTGACCCCCAAGTCTCTTTTGGTCGTGCTGCTAGTGAGTGTAGCACTGCCAAGCCTATAACTATGATGTGGATTTTTTCTCCTGAGGTGGACTACCTTGCATTTCTCTGTGTTGAATGTCACTGGGTTTTGATCCGTCTATCTTGTGAGCCTGTCCAGGTCAGCCTGAATTGCCAGCCTATCCTCTAATATGACTGCACTTCCCCATAATTTGGTGTCGTCTGCAAGCCTAACCAGTCCACTTATGACACCTGAATCCAGATCATTTATGAATATATTAAAGACTACTGGTCCAAGTTATGAGCACTCGGGGATGCCACTGGTCACCGTGTGCCATGTTGACTCAGTTCCACCGACTATCACTCTCTGGGTCCAACCACGGAGCCAGTTCCCCAGCCATCGGACCATAAGGTTGTTGAGGTCGCACTTCCCCAATTTTACCATAAGGACATCATGGGAAACCAAGTCAAAGGTTTTTTTTTAAATCTAAATGTAGGACATCAACCTCTTCTCCTTTGTCCACGTGATACGTCATCTGGTCATAGAAGGAAATGCGGTTGGTCAGGCAAGACCTACCCAAAATGATGCCATGATGGCTCTCTCTCAGAATGTTGCCTTCCATTAGCCTGTTGTTGATGGTCTCTTTGATGATTTTTTTCTAAGATCTTTCCAGGGATTGAGGTCAAACTGACTGGCTTGCATTTCCCTGGATCTTCCTTCCTTCCTTCCTTTCTTTCTTGAAGATAGGCATCACATTGGCCCTCTTCCAATCTTCAAGCCACCACATTGGCCCTCTTCCAATCTCCCGAGCGCCACGAGGTCTCAAATATCCTTGCCATTGGTCACGCTATGATGTCAGCCAACTCTTTTAGCACTCTTGGGTGCATTCCATCCGGGCCAGCTGACTTGTGGATGTCCAGCCTCTCAAACTGTTCCCTCACAAGATCTTTGCCAATCACAGGCATATGATCTCCCTTACCCTGGTAGTGCTGAGTCCTGTCAGGCAGGGTGATCCCCTTTGGCTGGTGGAAAACCAATACAAAGTAATCATTAAGGAGATTTTGTCTAATATTAATATTAGAACAAATAATAATAAAAGATATCGGATTTATTCAAAGAACCTTGTCTACCTATGCCCTTAGACCAACACAGCTACAACCTGTACCCCCTCATACTAAGAAGTGGAGTTCATTCACTTCCATTTCCCCAACTTACTGGTCACATCTACACTGGACATTTACTGCAATTGTCTAATTAGCTCCGCAGTAAGTGTCATGGCA